AAAGCACCGCAAATAATGCCGAAAGAACCGAGTATAATGCTAAAAGCACCCAACAAAATGACGTTTGATCACTTAAGACAGCTGTGGCTTTCCATAGTTATGTAGCAGATATCTGTCACAGACTCACAGTAAAGTTATGTGACAGACACTTGTCACAGTTATGTAACAGATATCTGTCACATATCTGCAACATATAGGAATTTGGCCCAATAACATATCCGTCACATGTGACAGTATATCACTACAGATAAAATTGTCTGTATATTATCTACCAAGCAGATATGTCACATAGCTACCACCAAGTGAGATTTATTTCTACCATAAAATTAAAGCTATTTCCTCTTACTTCAGCAACATAAAGTTGTGGAAACTGTACCTCTGTCATGTTCACTTGAAGCCATAATAATTTAATATGAAGAAATACTATCAGAATATTAAATGTATTTATTAGTAAATATATAATTATAGTTCACACATATAGATACATTTAAGACTATACAATCAATCTTTCACCAGGGGCCAGTTGTTGAAAGCTGAATTAGCTAATTTAGCTTAACCCTATGGGTGTGGATAAAATGCTGACTCGGACTGGCGGACTCGCGGACTGGCGGACTCGATTTTTTCAATTTTTTTATCAATGCTTTTTGTTGGTCTCCTGAAAATTTACAATGAGCATCAGGCATGTTTTACGCGAATTATACAAAATACGTACTGCAAATGAGTGACGCGCTTTTAGAACTATTGAACAATTTATTTAAAAATACTATAATCAACATTCCAATAACAAGCTATCTATGAACAATCCCGACAGAAAAATATGTATTAATTATATTTTCTGTGTTGGTGCAATGTTCTCAGGTGAATAAGATGCTTGTGATGTTACTCTGAGTGTATATCCACACCGAGCAAGCTTGAAACCGACCAGACCGCGTAGCTCAGTTGGCAGAGCATTGAGCTAGCATTCCAAAGGTCGTAGGTTCGATTCCCACCGTGGTCAGGCATATTTTTCAAGCTTGCCCGGTGTGGATATACACTCAGAGTAACATCACAAGCATCATATGTATTAATTATTATTTAAGAGCGGAATATAATTGTACAGAATATATATATGATGATATATATAGGCTATGATGTAACGATGAAAGCTGCCTACGCTATTTCCCTATTTCTTAGAAAATTTCTCATTTATTTTTTTTCAAGCAATTCCTTGCTTGTATTGGTGTGCCATATTGCGAACTATGGCTCATTATACTGGCCTGTAGGCCAAGTGTCTTAAATCCCTCTTTTTCTGTCTTTTCCTGTTTTTTTCGTAGTCGAGAAATCGAGTTTGCGTTAGCTCATCGCAGGCTCAGGGTGCAACGACTAAGCCAAAATCCCATCGATCCCCTCGGTTCCATGATTTACATAGTATGGTAATAAGTCCGTATTTATGTACGTAATAGCCGACTCATGCCATGGTTGTGGTGCATTTTTCGTTTATTAGCCCATACACTTGTACGCACGCGCACAATTCCGAACTCCCTCCAATGGCGGCTTTTCACAGAGTGATCAAACACAGTTTCGTTGAATTTTCAAAGAATTGTGCCGGTGTCACAGCGGATTTGGACCCCCCAGTAGATTTGGACCCCCCGGTCCAAATCTCCTAGTAGATATGGACCCCCCGGTCCAAATCTCCTAGTAGATATGGACCCCCTTTAGCGGATATGGACCCCC